GAGAAGATTACAGACCTCAGTTGGACAATTCTCAAACCTACCTTTACTACGCATAGAGAAAACACGTACAATAACCATGCCTAGTGTTTCCTTTCTCTTCTTTCTCCTTTACCTAACCCTAATTTCTCATCATGGCACTATCGCCCAGATAGGCTTCGTAAAAAGTTTCTGTGGTGAAGGCCCCACCGACAGCAATAGTTCCTTCCGATCCAACCTCAGAAACCTTTTACTAAACATGTCTTTCAACACACAAATCGACTATGGTTTCTACAACTTCTCCTCCGGCAACAACTCCGACAAAGTTTACGTCATCGGACTATGCCGAGGAGACATTACTGTACAAGATTGCCGCAATTGCATCCAAGATTCAAGGGTGATTATTCTCCAAGTGTGTGCACCTAATGCGAGGGAAGCAATCGGGTGGTACGACATGTGCTTTCTGCGATACTCAAACCGATCGATATTTGGTGTGATGGAAACATCGCCGGGTTACAATTCGTTATTAGACAGCTCTGACGCTTTGGAGAAAGACGAGTTCAAGAATGTGTTGATGCAGATGATGAGTTATCTGAGAGAAAAGGCTGCTTCCGGAGACTCGCTTCGAAAGTTTGCGGTGGCGAATGCTAGTGGTCCGGGCAATCAAACCATATACGGTCTTGCACAGTGCACGCCAGACTTGTCAAACAAAGATTGTGACATTTGCTTGAGGAGGGCAATCTCTGATATCTCTAAATGTTGTGACGGAAAGAGAGGTGGTCGGGTGGTCCAACCTAGTTGCAACATTAGATTCGGACCTGATAGCGTCGGACCCAATAGCGTCTTTGACGCTTCTGCGTACAATAATACACAACCATTCGTGCAGTCACCGTTGCCTCATCCCGCCTCCAAACAAGGTAAACTTATATGATCAAGGCTTTTTTTGTTAAAAAAAAAAAATTAAACTAGATCAAGAAAATATAATTCTAAAATTGAAAATTACTGCCTATGGTTTGTGTTTGGATTAGTTGTGGAGAAATAATTTTGGGCCGTATATACTCCCTCCGGTCTATAATATAAAATGTTGGTTAAGTTTTCTCACAAAACAAAAGAGTTAGGAAAGTCATTAAATATGTTTTAAATTGATAAAAGTTACTTATTTTATCTTTATTAAAGAATGTGATTGGAAAATTCTTCCCTCTTTCTCTTGCATTTAAAACTCTCCCCTCTATGTAATAAGAGGTAAAAATGAAAAGCTATTATTAATTTCTTTGTCAGCATCTTATATTTTGGATTAAAATTTTCTTCTAGAAGACTTCTTATATTATGAATGAGAAAAAGTGTGTGAGAAGAATTTTGTCTCATTAAAGAGGGTTGAGTTTAGCAGAAGAGTTTAATCTTGTATAATATAGTGAATCAATATTAGAATTCTCATTTTAAAAAAAGTTCACAACTAATACTAAATAGTATCTCAAACAGGTTTCCGACGAGAATGAGAATATGCCTGTGCAGTGGCGTTTGTTACCCGTCATAATTCACGGTTGTTACCCCTTATAATTCACGGGGTCTTACATTTCAAAATATCTTAACCCTTTTAAAAGGCATATATCAAAGCTTTTTTTTTCCTTTTGGAAAATTTATTGACTTTAACTTATCAGGATCCACTTGTCACAAATATAAGTGCAAATTTTGCTTTGTGCAGGAAAGAGAAACAAGTCATCAAGGATTGTTACTGCCGCGGTTGTTGCCTTCACCGCAGGACTCACCTTACTCATCTTCATCGTTGTAATATATTTAAAACCAAGAAGGAGACCCAATAAAATTGGAAGTAAGTCAACGTCTCATGTTTATAATATTATACTCTTCTGGTCCTAAATATAACACTCTTTTTGTAAAAGGGGTCTTATATTTAGGACCGTAGGAGTTACATGAAACATATGAAAATGTTCCTATACAAGTATATATCGCTTTAACTAAATACACAGCTGCCAACAATTTGATTAAATTATATATATTAATTATTTATATTTTATTGAAAAGTCAAATCACCAATTTTTTTATTAATGCTATTTTTTTCAAAAATTTAAATTTAGATTAAAATATATGCTTTGAAAGTAAATAAAAATGTATGTATATTGTGCAGAAATAATTCAAAATACATAATTTATTTTTTTACGTTGAATTTTAAGATTGAATGATAATTATTGTCCAAGTTCAAGGTCGAAAAATCATTATTCATTTTTCAAATTAGTTATTAGAGGAACGTATTTTCATATGTAGTGGATATATAGTTATTAATAATTAATCATAACTCCCTGTGCTATACTACCATCCATGTTTATATAGCTGAAGCTAAGGATGCTGCCGACTCATTGCAAATGGACTTTGAAACCATCAGAATGGCAACAAATGATTTTGCTGATGCAAATAAACTTGGACAAGGTGGATTTGGAGCTGTTTACTTGGTAAGATACTAAATTGGGTGTGTATTAAGTGAGATTACTCCGGTCTTAAATATAAAACCCATTTTATAATATAAATTACATTACAAAATTGGTCTTATTTAGGAGCGGTGGAGTATATGATTAAAATGCTTTATAAGAAATAACAATCAAGTCAGATTCCTCCCATTCATTGCATTACTCAAACTCAATGGTCTAGTTTCGTGTGTGCGCTTTTTTGTTTTAATATATAATTCCAGGGTAGGCTGTGTAATGGACAAGAGATTGCTGTAAAAAGGTTGAGCAGGAATTCTGGGCAAGGTGATGTGGAGTTTAAGAATGAAGTGTTGCTAATGGCCAAGCTACAGCATCGGAATTTAGTCAAGCTACTTGGTTTTTGTCATAAGAAAGAAGAAAGGCTTCTTGTTTATGAGTTCCTTCCTAACAAAAGCCTTGATTACTTCATTTTTGGTATGTTAATTAATGCTAATCTTCCATGTCTTCCTTTCTTTTAATTTCTAGATCATAATAATCGATATATATTCTGAGAGGTTAAATTTCTAAAATATTCGTATCACCGTTCTCATGTAAGTGAGTTTGCTTCAATAGATTATTACTTTAAATCCTGGAATTTGTTGTCCATGACTTAATGCAGACCCAATCAAGAGATCATATTTAAATTGGCAAAAACGTGTCAAAATCATAGAAGGCATTTCTCGAGGTCTTCTTTATCTCCATCAAGATTCTCGAGTACGGATCATTCACCGTGATTTGAAGCCAAACAATATACTTTTAGATGAAGACATGGATGCTAAGATCTCAGATTTTGGTATGGCAAGGTTATTTGCAATCGATCAAACTCAAAGCAACACAAGTAAAATTGCTGGGACTTAGTAAGTTTATATGTTCTAGATTATATACTATCACTAGAGCTATAATTAGATTAATTAAGTTTAAATACTAATTCTCTTTTGACACGCACATGCAGTGGATACATGGCACCAGAATATGTAAAACATGGAATCTTTTCAACAAAATCAGATGTTTTTAGTTTTGGAGTATTGGTTTTAGAAATTATAAGTGGCCAAAAGAATGGTGAATTCCACAATGAGGAGACCATAGAGCATATAGGAACTGTTGTAAGTATTTCCCTCTATCAATACTTGAATCATCTTTGAAGAATCATTCTTTTTTTTTTTTTTTCGGGTTCCACAACTCGACAACTAAAAAGATCATTCTTGCAGGCTTGGAAGAGTTGGAGAAAAGGAATATTGGCAAATATTGTAGATCCAACATTATTGATTGAAGAAGGAGACTCTTCAAGAAATAAAATGATGAGATGCATCCAAATAGGGTTACTGTGCCTTCAAGTAAACACAGCTCATAGGCCATCAATGGCTTCCATTGTTACGTTGCTAAGTAGCTCTTCCTGTCCCATCCCAGTTCCTTCAGAACCATCCTTTTATAATTGGACAAGCATGCCAAGCATTGATATTCCATCATCATTATCTGGAGATCAATCTGTTGAAGAATCAAGAAATGAACTTACTTTTAGCGAGCAATTTCCTCGCTAGCCAGGATCACTTCCAAGTATATATAGGGGCCAAGGGACTTGAGAATTTTCGTTATACTACTCATAAATATACAACCAGCTTTTTAAAGCTTTGTGTTAGAGAAGAAAATGTGTAGGAGATAAATTAGTTGTAAAGTGGTTTCAAAATGCGGGTGGAAATCTTGAGCATGCTACTTAAAGCAAGATTGTTCTGCCCAAAATATGGCAGTGACAATTAATTTAAAAAATGGTGAAAATTTATGTTTAAAATTTTTATTGTGGTTAGAAGGACTCTAAGAAGACTTTCATTGATAATTTTTCCCCCAAAAAAGGGGGTCAAACTCTATCATTCTAAAGCGAAGCTTCGGATAAAAAACTGTGTACATTTCGCCCATTTTCTACTTAATTTAATTAAGAAATAATCTTTTATAATTAAAAAAAATTCCTGAACCAACGCTCATCTTTTCTTTCATGCAAGGCTGCGATCCCTCAGGAATAATTTAGTAAGAAACAGTTTAAAAAATTGATCACAATACACACACACACACGGATCTCAGTATTTAAAAAATGTATGTAAAATACAGCAAAGTGAACTTTTGGTTCTCTAATTTTATATAAAATTTTAATTTGATTCTTTAATATTAAAAAAAAGAATACTTTTATAGTCATTGAACTTTAGCACAGTTAATTTTAAATAATAATCTTTTGGTACATTCATTATTATTTTAAAAATTAAATTTAACATATCTGTATTTGAGATTTTTTTTCTCAATATATATTTTAAATTTTGATGTCCGTTTTTTTTATTAACATTATTAAGATTAAAATAACTAAAAAATACGTATAAAATAAAAGAATTAAAATAAGAAATTTTTTATGTAAAATTAAACAACTAAATATACACTTCTTGAGTAACAATTAACAAATACTCCTCTGGTCCTAAATATAAAATCTAATTTTTAATGTACATTATAATATAAGGTGGGTTTTATATTTAAGATCGGATGAATAGTTTGCAATAAGGTATGTGTTTATTGAGGTATTAGATTGGCTTTGCGGCATTCCCAGGGAAGCCCATGAGCATAACGTCTAAAGTCATGGCAATAATCATAAACCACCCATTTTTGCTGCACTTGTTGCATCTTCATCTTGTTCTCTGGATCTATGTCTTTGGTCTGTTTGGCTACATTGAATCCCCGGCATGACGGCTCCGGGCTCACCGTGCAGGCCCGGGCGGTGAAGTTCCGGAACGACGCAATGAACGGAGCATTGGACATGTCGATCTTCACCTGCCCCCACCTAGTAGCCCACGAGTCTCCATTCCAAAGAGTTGCAAAAACCCTCATGGGTTGCCTTGTAGGGAAATGCACTCCAATCTCATGCCTGTTTCGCATCACTCTTATGGGAGTATTATCCACTAGTATTCTGCATTCAAATTCAATTCAAAAATTATACACTTGCACATGAAAATCCAGACACACCCGAATTCGATACTTAGAATGGAAGGAAGAAAGAATGATTGGTATACTTCCTCCAGTTTTAAATATAAGAATTGATCATGGTGTTTGTTTTGGTTCTAAATATAAAATCTCAATCTTTATGATTTCTCAAATTTATAATTTTTTGCAAATAATCTTAATAACCACACATGTAAAGAGCAAGGCTTTCATTAATTGGGTGGTTATTAATACAAAATGATTAGAGAATTGACTCCTATTATTAACAAGTCATTAATAATATGGCTAAAACATAAAACTTCCCTAAATTTAAAACCATGTACAAATAACTTCTTTATCCTTTACAACTTGATGATTAATCTCAAACTAATCAATTTTACACTTCTTAAACTTTATTTTTGTATGCATATACAATCCACGCAAACTATGAATTATACGCAATACCCCTTAAATTTCAACTCATTTGCAAATAATTAAACAATATGAAGTTATTTGCATAAATATAATGTAAATCTTCAGATAAGTTTATTGTAAAATTTCAAAGATTAAGAATGTTATTTACGTATGACATAAAACTCTATGCAATGTTTGAACCTATTGTGATGGATATGGGAGCAGCAATAATGTAACTTACATGATACGTTGAGAGTTCCAATCAATAGAGTAAGTGTGGAAGTCCTCAGTGGGATCAAACCAAAGGTAGAATTGCATTTCTCGACCACCTTCGCCATATGCAAAAATATTAGTGGACATCAGATAAGGATCTCCCGACAAGTTTCCTAGGAACTCTATGTCTATCTCGTCGTGGTGTGGCCCCTCCGAGCTTAACTTCGTACATTACACATGCACACAACATTAATCACACCAAAATAAATTAACCTCCAAAACCAATCCCAATCCATAAAACATGTGGGCACATACATATACATACATATATAAACACCTTCATGGTACGAAGTAAAACATCTTATCATTATAATTATACGTACATAAAAAGCAGTGACGGTTCCTGCTGAGTTTCCTGGGACGAGTTTGATTTGCATATCAAATCTTCCGAACAAAAACTCACTCTTGGAAACGACACCAGACCCAGAATATTGATCCAACGTTAGGAATAAGCTTTGGCCTTCATCTTCGATTCTGGCTCTGTTCTCTCCGAAAAGAGTGTCAAAATATTCTATGAAATTCCCATCCACACCAATACTCGTACCAACAAACGCTAGAAACACACAAACAAAAACAAGATTGGAACTACAAGACATGGATGAAGATAAATCTCTTGTCCTTTAGATGAAAGGAAGGTTTCAGATTGCTTCGCAGGAACATAACCACAACAACGTTCTTGTTGGGTGAGATTAATGATGTGAATGTTATAGATCCATGGGGATGTAATTTTGCTATCAGAAGCTGTTGTGAAGACAACGGCCACATGGCTTAGGGTGATTGATTGGGATCATTATGATGATGATAATATTTGCTGTCACAAACTGAATATCATCCAGGCCTTAGACTTTTACTTTTCTGGGAAAATTAATTGGAGACAGAAGGACGAAAAGGAGAATCAGTTTGGATCCATGGATGATGAGAAGAATAATGGTTTAGGAAGTCAGGTCAATGGATACGGATGTGTTTTTGGAATTTGAGGTTGAACAATAGTCAAATAGCTGAATTTGGGATTGTTTTATTCTAATAATAGGAATCCTAAAAATATGCGAAGATGTGGGACTTAGAACACGCAAGACTGGACCAGAAACTTAACCTCTCCATATTGAAAGGATATTGTCTTTTTCTTTTTTCTAACAGGATGAAAATTCAGGTGCCTTGTATAAACGCAAATTCAAAACTCAAATGATGTTCGGAGAAGTAATTGCAGGATACCTAGCTATCAATGACATTCTGATATTCGGATGAAATTTAAACTTGTACTCCTTTTTGAGCTTTTTGTGTGCCAGATATACTCTTCTAAGCTATATTAATCATACTTTTATCGATTAGATTAATTTTTATTGGCTATTTTATAAACATATTTGGTGCTGCTTTAAGACGTATGAGATAATTTTTTTATAAAAATATTCAGAGGTTTGAACTTTTGACCATTGTATATTTATATCACACCTCACCTCACTCTGACCACTTGAGTTAACCCCACGTAGCATGTGTCAGATCATGTGGAGGAATCTTTTTAAACCGTATAAATGTTATTTGATTTCACGAATTTGGATCCCCGAATTGAGGCTTTCGCAAGTGAAACAATTAATTGATAGATATTAACGATCATATCATGATCTAATAGTGTTGAGGAGGGATCATTGCTATTAAACTCAAGAGTTGAATCTCCAAGCTTAACATTTAATGATAGGTTTAGTCACCGAGTTCACCGTTTTTGTTGTTTTCAGCTTGTAAAATCGTGTTAACTTACTGAAGTTGAACTTCCCTTAATTGTCGCTTTGGGGTTACTCCAAAAATTAACCGAATTAATACAATATAGTGCAAAACTCGGGTCGTTTCACTTTGAGGAGCCGAAAACGAAATTAAATCCTAGTAAATGAATGCAAGTAACCTAAACTATAAAAAGAGATTTTTGATTTTGAAAAGCTGTTAATTAAATACTACGAATCAAATTGAAATTAAAATACTTTTTTTTTTGTTTTTATATAAAAGTGATTAAAATGAATGGAAATTAAAGAAATGAAAATGAGACACACAGATAACACTGATAAAAATCAATCCTCCAATTCAACAACGCAGGCAATCATCACTCTAAAAGATGTGGGAGTTAAAAACAATGAATTAAAAATTATAATTAAGCTTTTGATCCAACAACCGAGCCACCTCGAGTTGCCACAAAATATTTTCCTAAAATCCAAACTTACTAACTGCAACCAGAATAGTAAAATGGGATTAAGGATGCTAAAAACCAATGCTTAATTAGAACTCTTAAATCCAAAATAACAGAATTAAAGCTAGTAAGAGACTATATGATCCAAAATTCTAAGCCACCTTAGAAAATCACAATATATTAATTCCAAAATCAATACAAATGTCGTAACCACAACATTATAATTGAGATCAAAACTATAAACAGCCCAATGTCTAATACTAAGCAATAATTCAGTCACAATAATCCCCAAATAATAAACAGATTAAGCAATACAATTATCCCAATAATCAGAAAAACTATCCTAAGACCTAGGAATTGTTAAACAATTATTGAATAGGAAATTAAAGCAACTAAAACTCCCTTTTGATGATCCAAGCTCCTGCCATTATTGTTGAATTAGAGAATTATAGAGTCTAGCCTCGGTTTGCCATAAAAATTGTCATATTCAGAATTTTGCTACGGTTTGCCATGGAGGGAATAATGGAACAGGGGATGATTTCTTTCTCCTGCGTTGCTGGCAGCAGTGAAGAAGAAGCAGACGATGCCGTCGAGCCTGCTGGTTTACTCGCCGTCGACGTCCTCTGTTTTTCCCAGCCTCCAGCTCCTTCGCGTGCGTCTTCAGCTTCCGTTGGCGTGCTCTGTTTTTCCGCTGGTGCCGCTTGCGTTCAGGAGAAGAAGAAGATGAAGCCGCCGGTGATGATGGGTGCTGTCTCTCTCTTCTACTCCAGGTCCGTGTTCGCCGTCCAGCTCCTGTTTTCGGCTTGCAGCTTCCGTTCCGTCTCCCGTCTCTGTTTCGTTCCCGCGTGTATGCCCCTTTCAGCTTTCGTTCGGCTTTCCAAAGCTTGCTCTGTTTCGTTCTGCCGCCGCTCTCCTGGTTCGTGTGTGTTCTCCTCGTTCAAGCTGAAGGTGATTATTGGATATTAGGTTGGGGGAGCAAAACACAACGTTTTGCTCCCTCTTTTTATTATATTATATATTTATTTTTTGAATTATATTTTTTTTCTTTTTTTTCTTTTTTTTTTAAATCTTTCAAAAACCCTGAAACAAAATTCAAAAATAAGGTAGCATTAATTGTCCTCAAAAATCAATTAATCACAATTAAACCAAAATATGACAATTTTGCCCCTATAAAATAATAATTCAAAATAAAATAAATTAAATCAATTAAGGCAAAAAGGGACCAATTAAGCTGACAAAACTCATATAAAAGATAGTAAAATATATAAAAATAATTGAGTTTGTCACTTACTCTTAAATTCATACTAAAATTTTTAATTTGGTTATATTTAATGACTTTATATATGAATTTGGCAAAAAAATTTTGTTAAGTATGGCATATTATGAACATTAATAAATTTAATTTCAATTATTTGGATTTAAAATATATTTAAATGAAATTATTGTCATTTTTATATTTTAATTATTTAATTATATATTTTTAATACTAATTTATTAATAAAAGTAAACTCTTACAAATTCAAGATTCAAGTTTATAATCCAAGTTTACACGTCTATCACAGGCGTGTTTAAACTCGCTGAGTTTGATAACTTTGAAGAGAATTACAAATTCATTTTTTTAAAAAAATAATTAAAGGTCTTTATCTCAACACTGTTAGAGGGCAATCTAATAGTTAATGTCCTTTAATTGAGAGTTAAATGAGAGCAGTAAAGTAAGCGGTTCCAATCCTTATTTCACATGATATTGTTGCCTGAAATTAGCTCGCATAATCTATACCTCTTATGGCAGGCAATTGATACTTAATAAAAAGAAATTGATAGGAGTTTCTTTGTTGGCCAAAGATAAGAGTACTGTTGTAATATTTAAACCAACGTTTACTATATCTGTTAAAGTTATAATTTTACTTCAAATGTGATAAGTGTGTTCTGTTTTAATTATTACCTTAGAATAAAAACAGTACTCTTTTCTTATTAGAAAAATAGGCACTAATAATAAGGAAAAAAAAGATATCAGTATTAGTATTAGTATCAATAATTTTTTTATAGTATTTGACTCTTAACATTTTAGGTATTAATATTATGAATTATACTACCTCTAGTCCTAATTATAAGAATTCATTTTTAGTCTATAAATGAGATCTTATAATTAGGGCCAGAGGTAGTATATAAATCTTAAGCATGTTTTACTCTTGTCTTCAAGATTTGGTTTTATTTTAATACCAGTATTCATTATCTATCATGTGAGCTCATTAATTACGCACGTTAGCTGTTTCCGTGGCTTGCTCTCCTTTTCACTCTAAACGATACATTTTTTTTCTGTTATGTAAATGGAAACAGCTTGAAATGGTGATGAAGCCCTGATATTTTGGCCGGGTCACATATTATGCTAAAAGAATAATCTGTGATTTATGAATGGTATAACTTGTTATAAATTAAAATAACATATTAAAATTGGATCTTACTAACATAACTCAGTTATTCCCTACTTACGAAAATTAAGGAAACAAAGATTTAAATATAATCTTTATAAGCAACAAAAAATATTAGAACAATCCTTTACGTCGGCCAACAGTTGAGCCATCATTACGTTATGTTATTTATAGTGTTACGTTACCCAGTAATGGAAGATAATTGACTTGGTTTTTCAACGATTATATCTATGTCTACTTGTCTTTGTATTTAAGGAGGTTCGTTTTGCCAGAATTAATTTCTCTTAATATTAAAATCTCTAGCCAAACTTGGTCTTATATATCTAAACTAAATTATCATTTCCACGCAAGAGGAAAAAAACATGATCCAATAAACATTCATAGACTTGCACATTTATTTATCATTGACTTTACCAAAAAAATAGTGTTGACTAAATCCTCATGTCTCTGTTTTTAATGTGGACTACAAATATAGATCAATTCGAACCAACTACAATGGACACATCACACTCATCTTATTCTTGCCACTTGTCATAAATAAATAGTCCAGACCGACCTATAGAGTTAACGACTAAAATTTGATCTGAACAGTTCCGTAAATCTAAGAAATACGTATAATTCAAAGTTGTGAAGGAGTAGTGAGGGAGATCCTGGGAGAGATTTTGATGGGCAATCCAAGAGAAGGGAAGGGCAAGGGATCTAAAGTGATAGGCTCATGAGGATGAAGTAAGGACCAATCAAATTGAGTGACTACATAATGGAGAAAGATCAGAATATTGAGCTTAGCCAGTTGGTAACCAGCACAAAGTCTTGGTCCTCCTCCAAATGGAACAAATGCATAAGGTGGTATTTTGGTTGCCTCATCCTCCTCAAACCTACTTGGCTTGAACCTCGTTGCATCCTTAAAATACTCTTCATTGTAGTGTGTCCCATATGCTGTCCATAGCACCTGTAATTCGCAAAATCACTATTCAATATTAATAACCATACCACT